TTTTTCTATGGGAAATGGCAATTATATTAAAAATACTTGAATAAGCTTATATACTGAATAAAAGTGTATAAAATTCAAGATCTAACAGTGTAACTTTTATGATTATTTTACCATGACTTTCTAAAAGTTGGGTAAGAACCATTCATGATGTCACATGCCCAAATACAGATGTGAAGTATCACTATATAAAAACAAGTTACTTCTAATGTGGTTGGAGATCATTTTTTTCCTTGATCCATCATAGTCTTGATATCCTATAATAAATGTAAGATGCCATCATGCTTTTATATAATAACAATGTCATTGTCATCAGAGCATCTAAGACAAAATGCTCCAAGCCTCAGGGCCAATAATTTGCAATCTTCAAAAAAGCTATGGCTATTACATTTCTTTGTTTCAAAGAAATACTGACTTGCTTGTAATGAAAAAGAATTTAATAATCAAGCAGACATTTGTCAGAGGCATATGTTCACTGTGCAATAAACAAGTGGGTTAGAGATCACCTAATTGTTAGGTAGAAAGTTTGAATTCTATCTAAAATTAGAAGTCCAAAGTAGGACAAGGATAAGGTCTTTTGATCTCTGCTGCACAATTCTTTTCAATTTCTTTACTGCATAATAAATCAAAAGAAGGCCAAGGGCATGGGTCTATTTCAGATATATAGAGTCTTTATAGAATATATTCAAAATGTCTAATGGTCTAAACAAAGACAAATAGCCAATCTTGAATTAATTTCTTTGAGTTTCATCTTATCTATAAATTGGAGTGACATTTTGATATTGAGAGTATGAAAGGCAAAGGCACATAGCATGCAAAGATCACCATTACTTTCATTTTCCGATCAAATGGATATTTAAAGTCATCAAATCTTCTTTGTATGCACTCTGTTGATGTCTTTCATTTATATGAATAACAAAATGTTAATATTATATCTGTACATTGTTGAATATTTACTATATGTTAGGTACTAGAGTGAATGACATTGAGAATTCACAAGAGGAACAACTATATTTCAGTGAGTTAAAGATCTAATTCTGCCAGCTGAAGATTGCAAAGTATTGAAACATGTGGGCCAATCTAGAGACAAGAGTCTAGGATTTGGAAGCAGTTGCATATTTCTGGAATACAGAGTACAGGGGGAAATTCACAAGATTCTGGTTCTAAGTGGTCACCTCATCTGAGTGTGAGAGTTTGGAATTTTTTTTTTTTCTAAGCACAACAGGAATTGATTAAAAGACTTCACAATTTTATGTGTTTGTAAGGGGAGATGGTAGTGGTTAGATCAGATTTGTGGCTGGCAGGAGATTTAATGCAAGGCCAACCAATACTGGAAACAGGCACTCAGTGGATTAGGCCCAGCATTGGCTCACTTAATTTTCATAAGGTGAACTAATTGTCATCTCCATTTTGCGAGTGAGGAAAAACAGGCTGTAACAAGCTCAGCAGCATGGCCTGTGTTCACCATCAGATATGTCTGATATGAATGCCCAAGCTCTTTGGACTGTTCAAGAAAAATTGAACAACACAGTTAAAAACTCAAAGGAGATCTTATTCAAGACTATTGTAATTCAGTTAAGAGTATTGCAGTAGGAAACAGGTTAAACTCAACTCCACTGAAAGAAATGGTTGTGGGGCAAGTACTGAACATTGGAGTGAGTTAAAAATATGAAAGAACGATGGAGGAGAGGCTGGTTGATAAAATTAGGGCATCTGTGTTTGCTAATTTGTGCCCATGACAGTTAAGCTCCTACCCTCCCACAGAAACTGGAAAATATAAGTGTCATTGTTTTGATGGTTACATTTCAAAGAGAAGGCTGCCATGTGTTTGAGAAAGACATTCTTGGGTCATAAAACTGGCAAGTGACTGGGAGAAGAAGAGGCAGGGAATGGATTCACAGTGGCAATTTCTCTAAGTTAATGCTTTATGAAAAGGGACCTCAGAGGTAGACAGACAAAAACAAAACAAAACAAAAGAAAACCTGTCCAAATCTAGGGAAGAAGCAAGACCATTGTCTTCACTGCTGTGCCTACCAAGTGGGCCCTGGCTGAGTGTTTCTTGATGAAATTCAAGTTGCTTCTTTCTTAATTACGTATAACATCTCTATTAATTTTCTGTTGCTGTCTTAAGAAATGTCCACAAACTTTTCTTACAGTTCTGAAGGTCAGCTGCCTCAGCGGTTCTTGTAGGGTTGATTTCTTTTGAAGAATTGGGGTAGAATCATTCCCTAGCCTTTTCAGGCTATTGGAGTCTATGTATATTCCATTGTATCTGGTTCGTGCTTCCCTGCAAAGCCAATAATATGGCAACTTTTCTCCTCTCTTTCCTCTGCTTCTATTGTCACATCTCCTCCTCCAACTCTGAGCCCTTGCTTCTGTCTTTAGGCACCTCTTCATTGTGTCCACTCAGGTAATCCAAGATACTCTCCCCACCTCACAATCCTGAATTATATTTTCACAATTCCTTTTGCCACGTAAAGTGACATGTTCGGAAGTACCAAGCATTGACTGGCTTATGCTCTCATCGGTTCCACCCTATCCACAGGTGCAGGAAAGAAGCCTGTAAACTAGGATTTCCATACACCTGTGTCCATGAGCACATACCTGAATCACTAGCACAGTCACTGTCAGCTGTCTGTTACATTGAACAACTGAGTCCACATTTTTGGCCTCAGGGAGCATGGCTTCCCTCAGGCTAACCATGCTTGGTCTGCTCATATCTTCCCTGGATGGTTGAGTATATCTAACAGTTTCACCTGTGCACATGTATTCCTAAAGAGGATGCTGGTTTCACTTATAATTCCCATGTAACACTCAGCCCTCTGGTTTGAGGGTTTTAATTTTACTGGATAATGATCTTGGTGATTTTAAACATTTCCTGTTGCTTGTTAAACTGCCTGCTCGATTCAGCTCCAAATAACAGCTTTAAGCATACAAGTGAAAATTTAGCTGCTAGTATTTAACAACTACTATAATTTTAAAATCTACTTTCAATTAAGAAAACCTTGTAATTCTAAAAAGTGGTTGTGTTCCAGAGAAGTGCTGAAATGTTGACTGAATACAAGTCCACTTTATGTCTGGCAGGAACTGTTCAGTTGTCATATAGTTTAACATTGAAAGCTCGCTCAATGGTGCTACTGACACGGCTGGTGTAGTACAGCATTTAGTATTTGTCTTTATGCATCTCCCCATGATGTCGGAACAATCTCCAGTAATCAAGAGAAATGAAAAGTGCTACAATAAAGTATTTGTTAAATCTAAACACATGCAATTGACATTTTTAAGAAATGTGCATAAGAAATGTATTGATTGAGGAAATGAAGATCATTTATGATTCTGAAAACATAGTAGCTTTTGAGAGTATGACAATAATCTCTTCTATGTTGCCAAAACTCGATATAGATGGAATTGGTCTTCCGAAGACAACAGTAATCATTAGAAAGCATCCATTTTTGAAATTTAGTCTAATAGGACTCTTGAAGAATAGGACTTGAAGAATCAAGTCCAACTTTCATGGCAAATTTCCTTTGAAATTAAAAATTAAATTTAGTTAAAATCCATGCAGATAGTTCACCTGAGAAGTCAGCTCTAAACTTACATGGAATCCGTTTTAGACGATTTGGTGCAGTGTAAGCTTGGAAGCCACCAGCTGACCACTTACTGGACGTTGGCTCCAGATGTTCAGAGGCATAAGAAAAGGCAGAACTGCTTAAAAAGATTCTATTACACTTTCATATATAAAAGGTAAGGCCATGTCTGTGTGTTAAAATGAGTGAAAATGCAAGTTTGTGGTGAATGCTACAGCTTTTGTTCTCCTGGCAATGTTTACCTTGTTATCGGGTCTTTCATTTTTTAAAAAGTAAACATTGAAAACATTTTATCCAAACTTCATGTTTTCATTGGTTTGTTTATTTGTAAGAAATTATATTCCAATAGACATAGGTTTAAAAAGATACTATTTTGATTTGATTCTGTGTAATTTTATCTGTTTTTTTAGATCATCCTTCAGCCTTGGAAAATTGTTTTGATTAGAGGGAGGTCTTTAGAGGGAGGTCTTTAGAGGGAGGTCTTTGAGATGGTTTGCAGTGAGTGCTTCACGGTTTGTGCAGGAGGCAGGCAATTTTCTTTTTGTCTTTTTATCTGTCCAAGGACATCTACATATTATGTCAGTAGGCACACAGAAATTTATAGACAGTGGCTGAGCATGAGTTTCTTTCTCTCCACAGACACAGAATTAAAAATATCAAATTGAACACATTCATACTTGGGAGGGTTCAGGATTTGTCCTTAGCTTGGGTTGTGCAACTTTTACTTTTTTAAATATGTGTTCTTACAAGTGTCAGGAGAAACTTAAACGATACGTATTAAAGTAGCAATGTATTGGTGATGTGTGTTTAAAGTTTTATTTCAATGCTTCAAGTTCCAGGGTGGCCAGAGCTAGGCTTGCCAAGCCCAGGCAGCCTGGCATGCACTGACCCTTCCCCTGGATAGCTGGTGATCTCATTTTCATCAGTGATTTATACACTGTTGTCCTCATTAAAATATATAAGCCTAATTCAAATTGTTTTTAAAAAGCCACAGGAATATACTATTTAAAGGATTTTTTTTCATCTATTACAAAGAACTTTCTAAGATGGCAAAAAAATTTTCAAGAGGAAGAAAAAAGTTCTCTGTTTTTTTTAAAACAGTGATGCTTCAATATAGAATAGTGTAATAGAGGCAGTAAGCTCACTTTCTGGGAATCTATTAGTTTGAATTTATTTATCAAATAATTAATTCAATACTAAGCCAAAGTCATCTTCCAGATGCCAACATGAAATTGTAATACTGGTAAGGGAGATGCGAGCTCATTGCAGCACAGGTTCCTGAGTGTGGCTTTTTCTTTCATGCAGAGAATCTTGATTACTTTCCCAAACAATAAACATTAAGGGCTTTTAAATGTACTTTTTATTTTTTATTTTTAGTCCCCAAACTGATTACTCTGTTGTGTCCATTACTCACAGATCAGCTTGCTGCTTTCAGTAACAAAGGCAGGAGCTCAACTCATCTTAGCTGTGGCCAACAATTTATGAAGAGATAATCCAGTTCATAGGAAATGATGTTCTTCAAGTATTCGAAGAACGGAAAGTGTTTCTCCGTCAGCATGGATTCAGCTTCAAATATGTCTTATCTTGATCTCTGGACTACTGGTGTATGCCACGTTGATCCTCGCAGGAATAACTGTAAAGGGTTTCTAGTATTTCTTTTACTATCAGAAAAAACACCCTGGCATCACGTTGCCTGCGGTTTCTAGTGAAAACATCGGTCGGAGAATTTTGAGCTTATAGCCGTGGATGAGGTATGTAATTTGTTTGGTGCTGAGTTCTGTGACATGAAAAGTAAATTACTATTGGGTTGGGTAATGGAATGAAGGATCTATGATCACAAAAAAAAAAGGGGGGGGGAAGAAAAAGAAAAAATATTTTCAGCAGCAAAGATATTTCAGATTTAATTTTTATTTTTTGAATTTGCTGACATGAGCCTTAGTCATCGGCCCTCCCATGCCACCCTAGAAAAGCACGTGGTTTTTAGTCAGATGAAACAGAATACAGGTTATGCCTTTTCCTTTGACAATGTAATGAAAATATCCTGGCTCACCACAAGTACTGCTGACAGACTAAAATTAATAGGATGTCATAATTTTTACTCAAATTGGGTAGCAAATTCTGTAAAACACCCCTAAGACTGTGCATATCCTTTGACCCAGAACCTGTGATTATAGAATAAACTGAAAATATATTATCACAAAACTTAAAGAAAAAATAGTAGGAAGGAAGGAGGAGGGAAACATTCTCATGTTCTTAGAATTTTATCTTTGAAATACATGAAATCTGTCCTTTTTTCATTAATTAAATGTTTTTAAAAATAAAAAAGAACATGGAAATAATCAAGTCTGAGCCCAATTTTGCTGTGTAACTATGGCAGATGATGTAAGTCAAATTCGGGACAATTTTCCAAAAAACAAAATTGAGAGACCAGGAAAGTGAGGCAGGTAGAAAGGAAGAGGCTACAGGAGGAGAAGGCATTATTGTTTTGGTCACTGCCCAGTGATACTCCTCTGGTTCATTGAGGCTGAGCCCTCCTCCAGAAATCAAGTCAACCCTGAATCTAGACTCTGTAGGGTAGGATTTGGAGGCAGAAAGGGGAAAATGTTACCTACAGGATTCTGTCTTCCACTGGTCTGGGTTTTTTCCTCTAGCATTACCTCCTTCATGCGTCCAGGTTACTCATCAGTGGGTGGTCACTCAAAGCATTGTCAGGAGGGAGAGACCTAGACATCTGACAGGACGTTGATTATGGACGTTACAGGGCAGTCCAAATACGATGACCCTGTTTTTGTCACAGAAAATTTTTAAATATCAGCAATGATTATAAGTGGGTGAGGGACTATGATTTGTATTTGTTTTCCACTTTTTGTTTGCCTGTTTTTCTGTTTTTTTTTTTTTTTCTCGTGATGAACATGAATTGCTTTTGTGATAAGAAAAATAGCTAAAAAGTTGTTTTTAAAATGCAGATTTGTGATTTTCTATATATAGCAAATTCTGATTTTCTCCACTGGTTGGTAATTTACTTAGGTTCATTCTAATCTGTTATAATTTAGATTGGTTAATAATGTGGAAAAAGATGATCAACTCCAGGAAGTTAACAAGTTATAAAATCACATACGAGTTCCCTGTCATCTACATATGTAAAAATAATGCCAATGATTCCATTGTAGCATATATCTCTGAACTCTAGGTGCTTACAAGTTGTAAGGAAGATAGGAAATAAATTTAAAATATATAGTATATTAGATGGTAAAGAAATAAGAAAAACTTTCTGATGGAGATAACTGAAGTGCAGAGATACGCTGTAGAATATAGAGGCTAGGGTGTGAGTTTAGAAACAGTAGTCAAAGAATGTCTCATTGAGACGCTGACATTAGAGAAAGAAGTGAGGAAAGTGAGTGATCCTTGAGACAATTTTAGAGAACATTTAAGAGAAGGACCAAGTGCAAGACCCGAGATGAGAGTGTGACTGGCCTCGTCAAGGGTTACAGCATGTGTTCAACAACACTAGTTAAATTGCAGCAAGGCTAGTTTCAAAACTGCAAGGTCTACAGCTTGTGTGTTAGGAACCTTCACAGATCCTATTCTTGGGGCAATGCCTAGTGAAAAGTAAATTTGCAGAATTAATTCTTTCATGTTTGCTGTTTCTAAGATACTAATTGATATTTCAGAAATATTTTATGATTTCACCGTTTCACCGGTTGTTTTTTGCTGTGCTGTTTTGACTTCTTTTATGAGTGATATGCTGTGTGAAGACAAGGTCATGTATGTTGTCTTTATTAGTGAAATCTCAGCTTGGCACATACATCTTTTGCAAGAATAACTTGCTATCATCTAGGGGGAATTTCCCAAATAGATAATTACAAGGTATAAACAGAACAATTAGCTAGAAATTAAATTCAATGTAAAAAACTTATCCAGTTATTGGTTTTCTAAGAAAAAAAAAAAAAAAGAAGTCTGAGGGGAAAACATGTCCATAGTAGGTTGATGACAGTCTGATGGAAGATTCTGGAAAGAGTTACAGAGATAAGCTGAGCAGGCCACAGTGGCCAATTTACAGGAAACTGGACGATGCCCTTTTTCACAGCTTTCTTCCCTTGGGTGTATTTCTTTCTAATCTGTAAAGGAAAAAATAAACACCTTTTTAAAAGAACACAGCAGGCAAGGCCTGATCTTCCGTATTCATACTTTGTGCCTCGAGGCTTTCAGATGATTTGTTCTCCTCATCTCTGTGCCAGCCTGCAGGTTCCAGAAGCTGCACCTGTGTCTGAGACTGGCTTTGGTCTGCTTTTTCTCATGACTCAGAGCACCCTACCTTCTTCAAGAGAACTCTCTCTGCATAGAGGTCATACTTAGGAAAGCACAGCTCAGCTTTGTCTCCTCTGTAGAAATGCTGTCTCCAGGTCAGCACAGGAGCTCTCTTGTCTGGGTCCCTGTCTCTCACGCTTGGCAGGCATTTGAAAGACAGAATGTTCCAAAGTTTAAAAAGACTAAAAATGACTATTTAGACAAACATAATTTTAACTAAAGTCACAGAAAAAATTGACTCCAGTTTCTTTTCTGAAGAGTCTTAATTTAACGATATAAACTGAATCATGTATCCAGAAACAAAGTGTTCATAAATGAGAAGAAAGGAAGTTAAACCTCCAGTCACACTAAAATACCACCTACCATCTTGTTAATACACTGTCATGCAGATATGATCAAGTTAACTTACCTTGCAGAAATAGTGCAAATCTGTCATCTGTCAGCTTTTACTTCAAGTTGTGCTCTGATGCCAACTATGCGTCTCTTTATAAGGACTGCAATTCTTTATTTTTTATATTGTTTCAGCACAAAGTTATTACAAACTACAGAATTGTGCTACAATTACCAAACACTGCATAATTTCTGTCTAATTATACAGAACTAATGTGCAACCTCTCTGTATTAATAATAAAGCAATTAACCTAAAATACCAAATTGGTGTGAGTTTCTTGACTATTTTCTCATTACCACAGTCTGTTCCCAGTTTCAAACAATTGAACATGGTACTTTATAAATGTTAGCTCCAGATGAAGTTTATTTTTACATCGATCACATCATCACCTTCAATTTTCTCATTTAATTCTTCAATTTGTATATGTAAAAGGTTGGTTCTGACATTGGAGTTCATTATAAATCAGATGAATTTATGAACTATTAGGAGTGCTAAGAGACAATATTATATTATCATAGCCCTCTGAATTTACTTTTCTTTTTTTAAAATACCAGTGGATCTTGCAAGAGACACTTCCATTGTGTCTGACACTTCTGATGTTATGGTGTCAATGGAAGTATGTGTGAAAACCATTACCTTGTCAATTCCATGATGTCAGTGGCAGCTTGATGTCAATGAAAATGTATAAGGTTCTTCCATTATCATTGTAACAGCTTTACTCATCTCTTCAATGTATCAAAAGACACTAGTCTGTAAGAAAGACTAACTATCTGAAATTGCTCCCTGCATTTCTGGAAATTAAAGTTGGGAGGTTGCATTACTATTTCTTCTTACAGCTTAGCATTAGCAAAAATATATAGGAGCACAGATAAGTAAGGCAACAAGCAGTTATTGAGTGGTTAAGAATGTCAATAGCTTAGAGTTTCAAATTTTTAGAATTAAAATAGTTGATTCACTAACTGGAAATTCTTGTTTATAATCAACAATAATGAAGAAAACTTTCTTTGTAGACAATATGTTATATGGAACATATCCTATGAAATACAGAAAAGTAGGAAGGTCACTACAAGTAATGACTTCACCTGCAACTCTTTCCATCTAAAGCAGCAATATTTCTGTTGTGGCATTGAACTGTTTCATATACTGATCTCCCCAGAAGAGATTAATCATGGCATATCATGAATCTTAGGTAAATAACACTTAGGTCTGTGTATAATAAAATAAGCATGGATTGCATTATACTTTCAGACAATGCTTTTTTCTTTCCCATGTGTGTATTATAGTTTAGTAAGGTTCACTTATTTTGCTTATGACTCTTTAAGCATAAATTTTTGCCATAATTTATTTTGGCAGAGATTGAGTACTTGCAAAAGTACTTGTATGGGTACTTTTACCTTCAAAATTTTTTATGTGAAATATAGGGACATAATTTGCTTTAGAGTCTTTTTCTAAAATTTTATTTAAGCTATACAAGTTTTATGCATTTCATATATACAGATTTAGGAACATAGTGATACTTCCAACCCACCCTCCCTCTGGCCCACACTACAACACTTCTTCCTCTTCCCTCTCCTATTCCCACTCTTAATTTTTACAAAGATCTATCTGCAGGTGACTTGATGATTGTAAGTTTAATCCTACAGTAAGTAAATTGTTCAACAAATAGTATGAAGATAAAACACTGTACCCCAGCAGAAGAGACAAGGCCTGTAAACAATCATCGCTCTAGCTGGACACTGCTGTTGTGGGGAGGATGTGGTTAATGAAACATGCCATGCTCTCTCTCTGCCTATATCACCATGAGTCCCTGCAGTCTGATCTCACCTCCGTCTCCAAGCTGGTGCCCTCTCCGGCTCAAGGCTGCTGGAGGCCTTGCTTTGGGTTGATAGCATCTGTGAATATGCTTATAAGATATTAGGAAATGAATTAATCATCTTCAGCAGTTTGTTTATTAGTTCATTGACACATGGAATTTGTAGATTGAAAAGAAATTTGAAGAAAATTGTATTGTATGTGTGCTTACTCCACTTTCAAAGACCTGGCATTATGAAAGGGACAGAAATAAGTATGTGTATAGATTATAATTCCAAAAGACATGAATTTATCTCATTTTTTCACATTTTTGTGTCTTGATGAGCTCTATTATTTGATCTGTTTTAAAGTAAAATAGGGAATTTTCCAGTTAGAGAATACTTGGAATGCCACTCCTGAGTAGTATAGATGAAATGAACTGGTAACAAAAATGCTGTCAATGTATGTGTAGCTGGATATATATTCATTTGTATGTATATGAGTATAATCACATAACTGCATTTTGATTTGATCCATAGCCATCAAATTTTCTTAATTTCAAGTTTAAATATGCTGCATTTATGATACCTGAATCTAAACTTATTATCATCACAATTATTTCTAAACTTTTTAAAAATTTACTTATTTTCATTTTATTTGATAAAGCAGGCTGACAGAGACAGGGAGGCAGACAAAGAGAGATTTGTTAATCTACTTTTTCACTCTAAATTCCTGGAATAGCCAGGGCTGAGCAAAGCTAAAGCTAGGAGCCCAGAAATCAATCTGGGTCTCCCTCATGGGTACAGAGACTCAAGCACGTAGGCCATCATCTGCTTCTTCCCTTGGTACACATTAGTAGGAAGTCAAAGAGCTGTGACCTCAACCTGACACTCTGAAATGGGATGCAGATCTCCCAAGTAGCGACTTTAGCTAGCTTTGGCCTGGCCCAGCCTGACTGTTGAGGCTATCTGGGGTGTGAACCAGTGGATGGAAGATACGTTGGTCTGTCTTTCTGTCTCTCTCTTTGTAACTCTGACTTGCAAATAAATAAATATTTAAAAATTATGAAAACTTTTCTGAATATGCTATTTTTGTCATATCCCATGAATCAAAAGAAGATGCCATAATAAGAAAATCAGTAAGCTTAATAGTCCCTTCCAAAGATGAGATCCCTGTCAATTAATTCTGATGGATATGTAATGTACTTCTTTATTTTCACCCATAACACAGGGTTGGAAACTGAGAGAGAATGAGAATGCAGGTGTATACCTATCTATCTTTCTGCATCCACCTATCTATCTAGAATTGAGGGAGACATTTTTTAAAAAAATTAATGGAAAAGAGAAAGGAGAATGAGAAGTGTTGTTACTTGGAAGAAATAAACTAAATAATTAGACTGAAGATGTGCTCCAACCATAGGGTTTGATCTCTCTTTGGCTGGAGATGGACCCTCTTAGAAAACAGGCAGTACTCTTCACAGTACTCTACTTTCCCATTTGTGAAAGTGAAAAGGAAAAGAACCACTAAGGAAGACACTTTCCAAACTGACTTAACCATTTCCCAATTCGGAGTTTTCTAATCCTTACACATCTTGAATCACATACCTACCGGCGGAGTAGCTTCATACTCCAAATTTAAGCCATTGTAGGAAATTCAGGCATTGTTTTCATTATAAAGACATCGGTGACATTGAAAGAAACCAGAGTTGTGCACCTGTAAATGTGAATCAATTTGTGTAGGATCTGGGGGCTAAAAATGTCCCAAAGCATGGGTTGATTTTCCTTGGGAAAGGAGGTTATTATTTCTTTAGAATGAACAGTTTGGGTAAAGCTGGATGATTTTTATTGCATTAGCTCATCATAGGCTTTCCTAATCTCTGCTTTCTTGTTTTCAAAATGCAGAAACACTGAAAGAAAAAACGTCCTAAACTAAAAGCTGGTTTACTCAGCTAGGGCAAGTGTTATCCCTGAGGTCAACGACTGTCTGAATCAATAGTATATCTTCCATATAGTCGAATTTATATGGTGAGTCAGTCCACATAATCCAAATTCATGTCAGCTGCAAACGAACTGTTTAAAAATACCTTGCTGTCATCTATTTCTTAAAACTGATTAGCAGCAAATTACTAGAGACCGTTCTATCAATGCATCAATATATTTTGATGCACTAGTGATTTGGGGGGGAGTGTTTTTCTTCACATTTAGGTGCTTATCAAGTACTTTTTGATACATGCATATTTATTTTCAAGCACCATTTAGAAAATATTAACTAGACTTGCTGCATCCACAGAAATTTTAAGCCACTTATTTTGTTTCCAATTAACAAATGTATTTCAAAGGCGGTGAAAGCTGATTAAAAAATCTGCCACACAGCCGCCTTATAATACAAAATAATTTATCTCAAATGAAATTCAAAATTTAAAAATAGACTCTATTTGCCAAGCATATAATAGTTAATACTTTGAA